GAATCCATTAGCAATGGCAGATGCTTAAGTGAAGAAGCACTCTCAAATACTTCATCACCCTCTTCGTATATCTATATCGCACCATTACCTATATTTCACGGCGGCCCCGAGGAATGCCCGGTGACACATTTAAGCAGGTTCGCCAAAGTCTGCCGTGCAAATAACGCATTCTCTGTTGAAACGATGATGAGGATCTTCCCAGTCACACTCGACGACGAGGCCGGCCGATGGTACGATCTTAACGTAGAGCCGTACCCTGCACTCGGTTGGGAAGAAATAAAGGCGTCTTTTGTGCAGGCGTATAATAAAACCAAAGTGAAAGAGCAGTTGAGGAATGAACTGTCGACGATGAATCAAGGCGGCGAGGAGTGCGTGCGGTCGTATTTCCTGAGACTGCAATGGGTTTTACAGAGATGGCCGGACCATGGGATATCGGAAAATTTGGTTAAAGACATATTTGTGGATGGATTGAGGGATGACTTTCAGGGTTGGGTTGTTCCTCGAAAGCCTGAATCGATGGAGGAGGCTTTGAGGCTTGCTTTTGCTTTTGAGCAACTGAAGAGCATCAAAGTTTGTTCGAGGAAGAATCGAAGGATTGAAGAGGGAATTACTGGTGATGAAAGAGAGAGGCTGATGATGAGGCAGTGTCAGTGTTCCAAACACCATTGTTGGAAGAAGCAGCTTCAAAGAACCAACACCACATATTCTAATGCACTCTGATTTCCCATTTTTCTTTGCCAGTTGAGTTTCTTTTCTTCTTACTTTTTATATAAATGATGGGATATACATATGATGATAAGTTTGTACATTTGAAAACTTAGTTTATCTTTTCAAAATGTTGTTGTCTTTCTTTTTCTTTTTAATTTAATTTTGACTTAGATCTAAATAAAAAATAATTTTCATTTATTTCTTGTTTCATATTCTTAAAGTGTTTTCTTTTTCCTGTTTTTATTATATTCATCTATTTTTATTGTATAATTTATTCTATTATTATGATAGTCTACCATCCTTGATTAGAAAAATTAGACGGTCTCTTGTAGTTGAATTTTTCTTTTATAATAATATATCTATGCATTTAGAATTGTTCGTGAAACAATACATTAGATTAATTCTTTTAATCTCTACGATTAAATTAATATTGTGTCTAGTTTCGAATAAAGACAAAAATTATTGTTAATTGACAATATTTTTTTGGAAGGTGAAATATATTAAAGAAATTGATATTTTTACGGTCATTAAATCTCTATGATAAAATTATATTATCTTTGTTGTATTTTACCTTAGTGTTTACTATAACCCTAATTTCTTACTTTAAGAAAACAAATATATATATATAGTCAAAAATTATTGATATTATAATAACAATGAGCAACAGTTTCTATAGCAGCTAAAATGTTAAAGAAAAAAAAGGTGGAAATCAACCTAAGTGGCTAAGAAAAGGAGAAGAAAAGAGATTAACAAGGGATTTGTTGAGTGAACCATTGGATGACAATAAAAGGAGCTTTGACGGACTCAAGCGCCACCTCCACTACCACCGTCACGCACAAACAACACGGACATATCAACGTCAACCTGCCACCTAATTAATTACTACTACTACTACTACTCATTGAGTTAATTAAAGAAAGATAATTATACAAACCCCACGATCCAAACGATGACTCCAACAAGGGAGATGAGCAGAGAAACAAAAGCAAAGGGAAGGCCGATGATGAATCCCAGTGGCCTGCATTCTCCATCACAGCACATGATTTATTTTTTCTTTTCGTTTTCCTCTACTCTGCCTCTTGTATTCTTTAAATAATTATATTGGAAGGCCACGCCAAGAAGTTACGATATTATAGTGATTTTCTTTTTTATTTTCATTATAGAAAAATGTTTTTTTTTTAATTTTAATTATATTATATTTTTAAGTTATTAAAAATTATAAAAAAATTAATATATTGATGTAATTATTTTTATCATATTGGAGTCCTCATCCAAAGTAAAATTGGTATCATATCTTATCATATTGGGGTCCTCATCCGAATTGATGCCTAAACCATCCATGAGTCTCTCTCTTTACACACAATTTAAAATTTTATAGAATTTCTCAAAAAACAAAGTTTTATAGAATCATTACCTTGAGCTTCACATTGTACTTATTTTTCTGCTTTAATGATCTTTTTAATTAGAAAACAACAAATCTTTCTTAAATTTTAAATTTTCTAAGTCAACCTCATTGTTGAACTCATGATATCTTCTCCTCCCTGCCTCTGTTTCAGAATCACTTACATTGTGCAATGAACTTGAACCCTCGTTCCAACTTCACTATTTATGCCATAATCTTCATTTTCTACACTAAATTCAGGTATATCAATTCCTACAGGCACATCACAAACTTCATCCTCACCTTTAGCCAACTCATTATCAATATTCTCAGAATACTGTCAAAATTTTAACTCTCAAAAGCTACATTGATTTCAGTATATTCAGCATTGGTTTTTGTATGTATTGATTTTAGTATGTTCAACATTGATTTCAATATGTTGAACATTTGTTTCAGTTTTAATATAATCATTTATTTCACGTATGTTTTTCAGAATTTCTTGGATATAAACATGAACATACTTATTCTTGGATAAAGAACCTAACATACTTAACATATCATTATCACTTTTCAATGGAATAATAGTTAATACACCCCCTGCTTGTTGTTAACACATTTCATGTGCCCTATGATATAGTATTAATTTTATTTAGGGTCAAATACAATTTGTAATAAACAGTTAACAAACACATTTAAATTTGGTGGATTGTTTATTTAAATATAATTTTATTCCTTAAATTTAATGGTCCACCAACACACACTGTCCAATACAAATCAAGTGGTCCCCTTCACTAACAATCACTAATAATGTATGTACATGTGATTCTCACTAACACAAACATATTTAAATTTAGTGAATTGTTTATTTAAATATAATTTTATTCCTTAAATCTAATGGTCCACCAACAACACTGTCCAATACAAATCAAGTGATCCCCTTGACTAACAGTCACTAATAGTGTATGTACATGTGATTCTCACTAACACGATATTTTTGCATTATTTCCTAAATAAAATATACACAATGATCCTCACTAACACAATAATTTTTTGTTATTCCCTAAATAAAATATACATATGTGGTCCTCACTAATAGTTAACAAACATTCAAAATTTAACATTTTATCAAACATATACAATATATGTAATAAATATATGTAACATACATGTGATCCTCATTAACAATCGACAAACATATGCAATAAACAATCAATATATGTTATTTATCCAAATTTATTCAACATATCCAATCGTACAAAATTTATAAACACTTTGACTAAAACACTAAACACACCAAAAAAATCTAAACACTTTGAACAATAGAAAAATATACAACTTGAAAGAAATAAATAAAATCGAAGCACGTGAATACCCATGATTTGTGGGTCATATTATTTAAGGAAAATTGAAAACCTAGTTATGGGTCATAATTTAAACATATAAAAATTGGTAGATAAAACTCACCATATGGCATGCTTGCCATACCCTTAGTTCATAGCACATGAGTTCTAATGATTTTTGATTTCGAACTCACGCTAAGATTTGATTTCGAAGACAACCCAAGATTCAAGAGTTGAAGATAAATCCGGATTCAAATTTCAAAAAATGCACAATACAGATGTCTAATTCACAAACCCTAAATTGATTTGTCACTAACCCTACCCTAAATTGATTTTGATAACCCAATCCTAATCCCCTAATCTGTATTTGAATTGGCGAAGAATTTAAAAAAAATCAAAGGATTTGTTTACTGTTTTGGCTTATCGTGCTAGTTAAATTGAGTTAAAAGGGTAATATCTCATTTACCCTTTTGTTTTAACTTTTTTTCTTTTTATTTTCTGACTTGAAAAATGATTATTAAAAAATATTAAAAAAATTCATGTCATAATGTTATTAGTGGAGGAAACGACTGAGTAACCAAAAAAGCTAAATGTATTTAATTCGGTAAGAAAATTAAACGAATTTAAAGTATATGAGTGAAATAGGAGATATAGTAAAATTCAATGATGATTCTGTAACGTACCCTTATTTTTAAAATAATAGTTTAGGTCACATCACAATTAAGTTTGATTCTAATTTCTTTCAAATTATTTTTTTTCAGTCCATACTAATATTTTTTGTTTCACGGTAGTTTTATTTTTTCAACAGAGAACATTTTTTTGGCCTCCGATCACCTTCAAGAGAACCATTATGTAACTCTAGATGTCAAATTTCTTTTTTCAAAAATCCAAGAGCCATTATGGGATAAATAACCTTTAGTCCCATCTGATTGTGGTAATGGCCCTACTCTCATCTTTTCCATTAACTGCCACAATTACAGCTCTTTTCTGGTTTGACGTCAAGGTTTAATATCCTTCACCGGTCTACTGATATTGAAAAGCATTGCAGCTCTTTTCTAGTCTCAGCCTATGAACTAAAACCAGATGAAAACAGGAGTAGGCTCAAGATTCAAGAATGAACTCTCCTTTTGATACAATTTGATGACAATGGATGCAACATTGTTTTCGTATGGAAACCCAAGAGAATGAAGATGAACGTTTGATGTGTTTGGTAGGAAGTTCATCTTCAACTTTACCTTCTATCGAAACATCTAACAGCAGCTTTGAACCAACCGACCATATTCCAATATATGTTAAGTTTTGGTTTCTCCGAAGGTGATCATGTTTGTTCTACGCTATCCTCGAGTCTTCGATTTGACCCAAAGTGCAATACAAGGAGAAATGATAAGTCCAGGAGAGCCAAGGTACTTCAGCGAAGTTAATAATATCTTCTCATTTGATTTGAGCGGCGACTTGAAATATGAATTAAGTTCAGTTTTGATTCGGCCTACAACTTTTGATCTCAGGAAGTAAAATAGATGGCTTATGAGATGAAATATAAGAAAAGCCAGGCCAGCAGCAGTAAGCAAGGGTTTCACACTAATTGTTGTTGTATTCATTTCACGTGAACCATACGATGCTTGTTTCTTTGCTTCTTTACACATAACATCAAATCAATGAATCTGCCGGCAGAAAGCATAATAAACGCAGAAAAACCAAGCCCCCCCCCCCAAACCTCTTCTCTCTCGTGAAAGTAGGATGAGTTGAGCTGACTAGCACTTTGTTATTAAATTAGCAATGTACACGTGCCTTCAATTTAGCCTAATTAATCCCTAACCAATCCTACCCGCATCTTAGTTGTATGATTCTCTAGATAGTACAAAATTGTGAAGTGCTGCTGAAGCCCTTCCCCCACTCTGCCCATTCTGCAGCCCTTCACTTCTCCAATATACACCCAAGTGCTACATCGCACCCATAAAACCCAATCTGCAAAATTTCATGATCACAATTGATCAGCACATACTTTTAAATTCTTAGATCATAATATCAAGAATGGCTGTAGAAATTTGTCAAAAAGGTATGCATACAAATGCTTATAATAGTTGAAAGTTAAGAAAAATCTATTTGCAATGCAGTTGATGTTCTCCAACTAATCAGCTTTTCACCAAACACAGCATCACATCACAAGAAAACATGCCAGGACATTTAACAGAGCATCCTAAATCATTATGCGTGCATAAAATCAAAGAGGAAAGAGTGACATCAGAAGCAGCACATAATTATGAGTTATGCCACCATGTTCGTCATAACAGATACAGTAGCACAATTAAATCACATGATAATCATACATATTCAGTTAAATGAACAATATGTTTATTGCATCTTTTAATCTTCAACACCTTTCCTACTCAATTTACAATAACTATAGTTAATATTGTTATTCTAGAGTATTCTTGATTTTAAGCTCCCAGTGTTTCTTAAGATAATCAGCTTAACATTCAATAACAGGCACTGACCTAAACATCAGTTTACAAACTAGGAAAGAGTTCAGCACCATTATACAGAAGCAACATAAAATGAACACAAAAAGATGTTTATAAAAATAGGGTCAAAAGATAGAAATCTAGCTTGATTTTCATTAACTAAATAGGATCTTTAAAACCCTTGCTCCAATAAAGCTAAAATAGAAAATAAAGCTCCTAAAGTTTACCGCTTTGTCTAAATAAACCCCTAATCTTTAAGTTACAACTAAATAAACCCTTGATATAATCTTTTTGATTTGTTACAAACTTACAGTTAGCTTTTATTTCAATTGTAAGATAAATAAGCCTTACAATCCAAATTTTAACTTAAGCTGCAAATCCAGAATTATTAACAAATCCAAATTTTAACTGAAGTTATCATGTGCTCACTTACAGAGTGAGACTAATCAACAAGGATATTCACCATCATTTACATCATCACTGAACACCAATCACACTGCTCGCAAGGAAAGCAATATAAATAAACTGTATATAATGCTAAAAAAACAGGTAATTTGAAAATGGTCATACACATCAGAACAACTTTCAAGAAATCAAATGATGAATGCTTGTAGCTGAGCTCACAGGACCATTTCAGCATACCTGAATAGGGTCAAGATCTAGGTGAATGTCCAGCAGCATCAGATCCAGATGCAGAGGAACTTCTGCTATCAGGGTCTACAACAAACATTTATACAATAAAACATAATTTACTCCCTGCAAAAATCTAGTAAGAAATAAATCATCATACCACTTGAAGAAGACCCTGAATCACTGCTAGAACTGCTTAAATAAACCCTAAACCGAATTTGAAGATAAGAAAAGAAGGGAAGAAAATAAAGGTAGATTTCTCACCTCCCTACCATGGATTGTTCGATTTCAACGACGCTCTTTCGCTCTCTCTTTAAGAAGTTCTGACTTTTTCCCCTCTGTATCTTATCTTACAGGTGTACGGTTTGGATGCCCGCGTGGTTATAAATGCTTGTCAGAAGCGTGTGAATGCGTCGAAAGAGTCGTGATCCTGAAAATCATTAGGAAATGTATTATTGATTTACCCACGCTCTACCGTATAGCGTGTGAGCACGTACCATTTGATAACAGGATTTTTAGGAGAACGAAAACGAAGTAAAGCTGGGTTTTGCTAGATTTTTCCACGTTCACTAAAGAGCGTGTGGTTTAGTATTTGTCGTGACCTTCGGTTGGGCACGAAATTGGACTTCGACTTTGATTAAATGGGTTAGAGTCGCCACCGATCACTTTAAAAATTTTATTTAGGTAGATCGGGCACCATCTTACCTAATCTGCGTTTCACCAAAAATGTGTCGGGTTCGGGAGTTGATTACGGTAAAGGAAGGATTAGCACCCTTGAACCGCCCTTTCGGTACCAATTAATTTGTCAGTTGTCTTAGTTGCGAATATTAAAATTAAAATTAAAATTAAAATTTAAAAATTTGATTCGAATTGCTTACCTTTGATTAGTTGAATTCTTCTAAAAAAGTCAAAAATATTATAAAAATATATTAAATAAATATTAAATAAATAAGAAACGTAAAAAATGAAAAAATAATAAAATAATAAATCAAAATGAAGAGAAAAAAATGCAAATGACGTAAAAGTTTTGTTCATTTTCAAAAATCGAGAAAATATAAGGACTTGTGTTTTGGTTTACCATTTTCTTTTTAAAACACAAAAAAAACCCTTGCTCCAGAATGCTTCGCTTTTTCTTTTACTTTCCACGCAATGCCATTTTCCTTTTCTCTCTTCTCTCATTCTCGTCACACCATCATATTCGTAGCAAATTGGGGTCGTCGGAGTTAGTCACCATCACGTTTAGCGTTATTTAGTTCTTCGCTTGGCCATGCAGTCTTCGTTAGTCTCCCATCGGTAAGTAAATCGCGCCGCCGTTCGCCATTGTTTTTGGTCGTGTGCAATGGGTTCACAAAGGCTTCATTCCCGACAAATATGGCTTCTATCTTTGTTTGAGGGTAGAAGTTGATTATGTTGGATTGAACCCAGCTATCAGCGTCGGACTGGTCGACGACAATTGAGGCAAGGAGTTCGTTTGGAAGAGCGGCAACGAAGGTGATCCCGGAGTTCGCCAACGTGGTCAGAACGATGGCATTGGTGTCATAGAGCTTCACTTTGTTTATTTCCCCGGGACTTCAACAGCTCGACGACTTTTCCCGGCAACGGTAAGTTGTTGGCGATACGACCGTAGTCAATCCCGACCGAACCTGCAGCATCGATGAAGAGATGGAATATGAAGAGAATCCAAGGAATGCACGAGCTAGACCATCCGCAACTAATCAATTGGTTGCAAACTCCTGGAAGGGTTGTTTCTTTGGTCTTCAAAAAGTAGGAACAAAAATGATCCCAGAGCATGTGAGGTGCCACAAGCAGAGTGGTATTTATAAAAGGCGCCATATGTGATGATCAGTGCCTTGGCCATTGCCTTTGTATTCACGGTGTTATGTTTTGTGGAGGTTAATCATCTCAAGTTAGCTGCACTGAATGAAACCCCCTTCACGTGGACCCCCTTCAATTCCTTCCTTCCTCTCCTCCACTGCTCCCCCCACCAACCTTATTTAAAGCTAATTTCAAACACTCCAAATCCACGCCATTTGCTCCCTGATGCATGTGGTAGTGGAGTAGGTGGGTAGGTGTGTAATTGAGATAATGATGGGGTAGTGGAGCTTGCAAAAAAAATTAATAGAATTAATAATAATAATAATAAATAATTATTATAATAACATATATATATATATATTTAAGCCCAGTCAAAAACAGGTGTCTACAGCTGCCCCTCTTTACACATTTTTATGTTAACAAGAATAGGGCAAAGATGAAAAAGACAACAAGTTTTTGTCCGGTCCTCTCAAATGTGATTGGGCTTCCTGGAATTGGGCCTTTGTCTTCTTCTTGGTTGAAAGATTTTGGCTTGAAAATTCTTCCAGAAAGTAGTTCCTCGCTGTTATCGAGCTGAATGAAATTGAACTCTTCAGTTTTTGGTGGCAGATAGCCCTTCTCGATTTAAGCTATGCTGCAAATGATGTGCATTTGAGCTGAGTGTAATCGAACTCGATGGTCTTTTTTGTGTTTCAAGAAAAATTGTTTCAAAGGTTTTTTTTTGTGTTCAAGAGAAATTGTCTCAAGAGAAACAAAACTTAGTTCCAAAAGAAACTGTCTTAAGGGAGATGAAATTTGTTTAATTTAAAACATATTCAAAGGTTTTGTTTCAAGGGAAACTGTCTCAAGAGAGACAAAATTTTTTCAAGAGTAATTGTCTCAAGAGAGACAAAATGTGTTCCATGAGAAACTATCTCAAGAGAGACAGAACTTTGTTTTGAGTAAATTAGTCTCAAACGAGACGACCCCTTGTTTCGAGAGAAACAATCTCAAAGGCGATCGATAATTTGCTTGTTCCTGAAGATGAATGTTGTTGGTGGGTACGATTCTCTTCGTCGTAAAGTTAAACGTAGATGGCCCCTTCGTCGTGAAGTTGAGCCTTGAATTGGATATCCTTCGTCGTGAAGTTGAAACCCAATCTAAAGATGAATGTTGCTGGTGAGCACGATTCCATTCGTCGTGAAGTTGAAACTGTGGATGGCCACTTCGTCGTGAAGTTGAACTTGTATTGTTTCGAGTCCAATATCCTTCGCTGTGAAGTTGAAATTGGCTCCGAAATTGGAAATTGTTTATTGACAACCAGCGGTCCCTTCGTCGTGAAGTTGAACTTGCGTTGTCTTGAGTTCAATATCCTTCGTTGTGCAGTTAAAATTGGCTCTGAAATTGAGAAGTTGTTTGTTGACAACCAGCGGTCCCGTCGTCGTGAAGTTGAACTTGCGTTGTCTGGAGTCTAATATCCTTTGCTGTGAAGTTGAAATTGGCTCTGAAATTGGGAAGTTGTTTATTGACAACCAGCGGTCCCTTCGTCGTGAAGTTGAACTTGCGTTGTCATGAGTCCAATATCATTCGCTGTGAAGTTGAAATTGGCTCTGAAATTGGGAAATTGTTTGTTGACAACCAGCGGTCCCTTCGTCGTGAAGTTGAACTTGCATTGTCTGGAGTCCAATATTCTTCACTGTGAAGTTGAAATTGGCTCTAAAATTGGGAAATTGTTTGTTGACAACCAGCGGTCCCTTCGTCTTGAAGTTGAACTTGCGTTGTCTGGAGTCCAATATCCTTCGCTGTGAAGTTGAAATTGGCTTTGAAATTGAGAAGTTGTTTGTTGACAACCAGTGATCCCTTCCTCGTAAAGTTGAACTTGCGTTATCTGGAGTCCAATATCCTTCGTTGTGAAGTTGAAATTGGCTTTGAAATTGAGAAGTTGTTTGTTGACAACCAGCGGTCCCTTCGTCGTGAAGTTGAACTTGCGTTGTCTAGAGTCCAATATCCTTCGCTGTGAAGTTGAAATTGGCTATGAAATTGGAAGTTGTTTATTGACAACCAGTGGTCCCTTCGTCGTGAAGTTGAACTTGCATTGTCATGAGTCCAATATCCTTCGCTGTGAAGTTGAAATTGGCTCTGAAATTGGGAAATTGTTTGTTGACAACCAGCGGTTCCTTCGTCGTGAAGTTGAACTTGCATTGTCTGGAGTCCAATATCATTCGCTGTGAAGTTGAAATTGGCTCTGAAATTGGGAAGTTGTTTATTGACAACCAGCGGTCCCTTCGTCGTGAAGTTGAAATCTACTCTCGAGCAAATTGTGAGTTCGAGAGAAACTTTCAATCTGTCGAGTTGGTCAAAGTGTAGCTTCTTGCTGCTGAGTTAAACAACCAACATGAATCTTTAAAGGTGCTTTTGAATCGAGTATCCTTCGTCTCGAAGTCGAAACTTGACCCTAAAAGCTGCAAAAAATTATGTATGTGGAAAATGATAAATATGATGCTCTAAAATGTATGCATAAGATGCATGTAACATGAATTGGTTATATTTTATCTCTTGAAAAAGGTCTGATAATTTGCATTAGGATGTTGAATCCCCAAATGATGCCTTAGTATCCAAAAATGCCCCAATATTTGATGTTGAATCTTCGAAGATGCCCCAAATGTTCTCATTTCTTGCTTAAGCCTGAGTTTTGTGTCTAAGAGTCACATGTCATTTATCAAGATCCACTCTAGAGAGACTGTCTTGTTTGAAAAAAAAATTTCTTTCTCTTTTATTTTCAAAGCTATCAATTAAAAGAGTTTTGAAAGATGTTTGATCCAAAGTTTTTGAAAATGTTGTCACTTTCACGGTTTTACAATTGAGACGAATCATAAAACTAGAGTTCATCGGATATCAAAGAATTAATTACAATGTTAATCCTTCAATAAATTATAGCTATTTGACAAGTGCCAAGATCAAAGCTATCTTTGGGAAATGGTTAAGTAAGGAAAGGATAAAAAAGTTTCAGGTTATTGTGTTTGGTCAAAGGTTTGGCATTTGATGCTCAAAGGTTTGATGGGGTAGCCTGCATGCTCCTCTACTGGAAGTGTTCTCCGACTCCCAATATTCGTGGTCACACTCGGATTGTGCGATGCCTTATCAAGGAATTTGTGTGATCGCCTCAGTTGCACAATTTTTATATTCGAGCCACTTTTCAGGTTTTTAACTGGGCCCCTCCTTTGGTTTCAAGACGTTATTCAGAATTTACATCTTGAACCCCCCTTTGTTATTTTTCTCTACTATACATTAATTACATTGTTTTTTGCAAATAAAGATTAATCCTGATGGGCGGGATGAAATCTGAAGATAGTCTCTTCTGTTTAGAAATCCATGTATGATTAGAAGGGACTTTTAAGGCACGTAATGTAGGCCAGGGCTCATGGTTATGAAAGAAAAGGATAAATAGGCCCAAACAAGTGTTTTAGGGTATTGAACCAAGGATCAATTCATTTGATGCCCTCGATCTTGTCTTGCTCAAAATATCTCTTTCTCTTGATGCTCTATGATCTTCGAGTGAAGTGATTCAGTGATTCGGAATAATTGTGCTTGATCAATCTCATAGTTTGAAGCTTGATGTGCCATTTGTCTTTAGGGAATCT